ACACACACACACACACACACACACACACACACACACACACACACACGTATGCATATATATTAAATTAGAATCTATTACGTCTATAGATCTACACATGACTACTATAAATCACTTAAATTATGCGAGAACCTAAGTACTAGAGTGATATATATACATACACGATTTTATACTCAAGTCTCAATAGAAGTCTCCTTTGAATAAAAATTTCGATATGTTTAAAAATTCAATGGAGAAATAGCAATTTTAATAGCAAAGTCTTATTTTACAACCAGTGAACACGCTCAATTAAACATATCGTGTTAACTGCGTGTGAAAATCTTGTAAACAAATAAGTAATTGACTGAATGTTGGCCTCTCTTCTGCTGACATCGCCCAGCAATATGCCATCACTGCGAACAACTCGTCTGGACAATTTATTGGTTGTGCCAACCTGTATCCCTCTCGAAGGTAGGATGCCATTTCAAATGGATCCACTTCTCCATAAGGCTGTTGCGCCAACGTCGTTAGTTCCCACAAAAAAACGCCGAATGCCCACTAAAATCGAAGAAAATAATATGATAAAAATGTCAATATAACATCATTTGCGTGTCATACATCATTTTAATGTGATCATTATCGCAATATTAATCGTGAATAAAAAGATCTCAGTTAAAATTTTAATTCATCAAAAAATAAAAATATTTTTTTAATGATAATTTAAAACAAATAAATTAAAAGGATTAATATTTATTTTTCTGCAGTATTTTTTATATTAATTCATATATGTTACTCACCACATCAGAGGCTGTAGTAAAAGTCTTATTAAGTAAACTTTCTATTGCTAGCCATTTAATAGGGCGATTTTCGTTATCGCCGAGGCAGTGATAATCCTGTGGAAACAAATCTCTAGCCAAGGCATTATCCGTGATTTGCACTCTCAAGTCATCGTCCACCCTGAAACATGAAAAATCCATGAACTTGAGATGATCGTCGAAAAAAGATCACGCAATTTCATTACTGCATCGTTATAAGTTGCTCTAAATGGAAATCAGACAGATACTAGCAATTAATGTCTTACGGTAACACGGTTGCTGGTTATTAAGTCTACGCGCAATTAATTCGGTAACGAGACGTAACGATTGCAGCTCTGTATGGCAATATAAAACCTGCCATAGAAACCCAGCTAAGCTATATTGAAAGCAATATATCTAGCAATAAAACTTATACGAACACTGAAGGATTTATAGAACGCAACAATTAAATCATCAAGGAAGTAATATAAAATATATTTAGTCGAATAATAGAATATTTTTAGTGATGCTTTAGTGATAGTCTCGGGAAGACTTACAATTATTTATCATTCTTACTTACACGCAATTTCTGGCAGCCAAGTCTCTATGAACAAGTCTCTTTCTGTGAAGATATTGTACACCTTTAGCAGCCTGAAGTGCCATTTCGACGACTTCCTGCGTTGTAAGAGCTCTTGGAGGCCCTTCGTTACTGAACTTGCATCTCAACAGAAATCTTTTCATATTTTTGTAACCCGTGTGTGGGTACAGCAGAAAAGGCGCACTTCTGTCCTCAATGGAAACACCGAGGACCGGAAGTAATGCTGGATGACTGAGTCCATACAAAGCTAAACCTTCCCGCAATAGAAGAGCAACCTTTTCGAAACAAAAAAAATTATACTTGAACATCATAGTTAGTCATATTTTAAAACATAGAATTATCTCTTTCAAATAAATAAAACATTCTATTTTTTAAGAAGATAATATGAATAAGAGATATATAGTTAACATATTTTATTCTTTATTATTATTTATATTGATTAATTATTCTCAAGAGTATTTCATTAGACTCTTTATTATTTTAAATTAACTTACTTGCGATTGGGATGCATGCTCGGCAGCAGTTTTCACTAGTACGTCCTTCGGAGATAAAGCACCTTCTTCATGGTAACTGCCTCTATACACGCGCCCAAACGTTCCCTCCAATTCAATACTAATCAGACGTACTCTGCATCTGTAACAAAACGAACAAAATTAATTATTTCATTCAATTTTATAACTTTCCTATTTTGCAGTATTTATTTATAACTCAAAATGTTATTTTTTTAACACTTATTGTGAAACAAATAATTAATCTATTTCTAAAAATAATATTCATTCAATCAGATTTTTGTAAAATTACTATTTGATATTTCTGATATTTCTTCTTAATTTAATTAAATTAATTGTTAATTTAAATAATAATTACCTTTGTACGGTGATTTCTTGAATTCTTTCATGAAGTTCTCTGTTAGGGCGATCATCTAGTCTTCTATAAGATGATCCTGACGCAGCAGAGGTAGGTGGAGGTGTTTCTGGTGATAAAAAAGTTTGCGCAGGTCCCACTCCAGTGCCTCTTTCCATACTGCACGCTGAACTGAGTCCTCTGGATTCTCTGTAATTCATAAATCTTTTATGCATATTCAATAATTCGTTCAATTATTCGATTTTTTTTCGATTTTGAAACGGTACGTTTCACTCACTGTAGAGGATCTCGATGTCTCCTAGTCTTCTTATCACGTACGTAATAGATAATAATCAAAACGAAAATAGCCGCCATGAACGCACACGCACAACCAATTGCCACATAGAAAATCTGACCGCCGGAAGTGGAGTCAGGGGCAGCGACTAGAACTTCTTCAGGCTCGGTGGGAGTCTCTTTCAAGTTCATACAAATTTTTTTTCGCTTGAACTCCAAGCTGGTCGTATTCTTTCTTGATACCGAGACGTTTATTCGGAGACTGAGGTCGACCTCTATATTGTAGGGTCCGCAGTGCAATGATAAGGCCCATGTTTGTAAACCACCAACCGGTATCTCGCCAATGTGGGAAATGTTTAAGGAACTACTCAGTGCTGTAGGATTGCTGATATCCACGAACATCGTATATGGTAGCTGAAAGTATCAAGAATTTCATTTTTATCTTATTACTGTCTAACTCTCTCTGCAAAGAAATGATAAAAAAGCTACCAATAAATCAAAGTTTATGTCATACAAATTAATCAATGAATAAAATGCATTTGTAATGTAGAATGAAATGACGAAAAGGAAGAGAAAAGGAGCGCACATAAGAGCGTTCAATAATTTGAAAACTGTAATTCGCAAAGAATACGCAAAACAGACGGAACAATGTTGAAGAGTGTGAGGTTTGGCTGGCTACCGCTCCGTCATAATCTCAAGAACGTTGAACTATAATCTCGAGCATACCATTCTCGGAAGACAATTTGTGCTCAGCGAGAGCAAAACGAGTCCAGAGGATTTGCGAGAACAAGAGTGGAAAGAAAACGGGAAGGATAAGGGGTGGAAGGAAACGACTAGGCGATGCAGAAGCTCGCAGCTGATTACTAGCTCGCAGTGATGATCGGCTGGCCACGAGGAGAGTACCTCGTCAACTTGTCGGCTTGTCGCTACTGCTATCTAACGCTCTCCTGCGGTCTTTTACGGTCATGAAGATTGTGGCTGCCGCACTATATGACCAGCCAGGCAGATTCTTCTAAATGGACTAGCGGATTTCCAGTTAAGAATTTAGATGGCCGAAAAATGAAATTTTTTCTAATCCTAATTCTTAATATATTTCAGTTCGTAATTTTATTAAAATATAACATATAGACGCTAAAGGAATAATTATTTTTTTGTTTAATAATAATTGAGAGAATAGGAAAAGAAATATATATAACTATAATTACAGTAATTAAAATATAAATGTACTTGATCACACCTGCACTTTCTTTAACAATAAATACTACTATGTAATTACTTATGACAGATGGCACGACAACATGGGTAGGATATTAAAAAAAAAATATTCTTGCGCGGTTAGGCCTTTGTACTTTTGCAAAGGATGTCAATTTTCATACAGCTTCGGAAAAATTCCCATATATACCGCGTACGATTCACACAATGTAACTTCTGCAATCTCTCGTTAATTTTCAAATCCGCCATATGCTTCATTCTCAATACAAACGACGTTGCGTGATGCGCGAGGGAAGGAAAATTGCTACCCGCGCTATACAAATACCCACGCAAACGTCTGATCGAAATTGAATGCGCTGCCTGGCGCGTAAAGCCGCCAGGAGGATTCCCTTGATAATTCGACGTGTACTGTGACGCGTCCGGAAACCGCTTTATCGAGACACAATTCCCGCAGGTTTGATGGACAGGCGCTGGTTTAAGTACCATTCAAGCCACTCGGTTTTGCCGCGGAGGTGACGGATGTCTTTGCGTCGCTCGTCAGTCTTCCTCATCTCCTTCTTTAGTCCCTCCTTCCCAGTTGTCTGCTATATGCCGAGACAACTGGAAGAAGTGGATGGACCACTTTGTCCCGCTCCTGGATCCATCCTTTTTTTCCGCGCACCGTCGACGAGTCAATCGGACACCCCGCCGCATTCTGCCCACTTTTCGCCGCCACTTTGTCAATGTACCACGGATGTCGACGAGCAGCGGGCAGAAGTGGTTTGCGTAGTTTTGCCGATGACTCATGAACGAGAAAAAGAGAGACAATCTGGTTTCGATTTTATATCCCGCATGAATATGCAGCTGCGCGATTCTCACCATCATAACTATCACACCACGTCCGCCGCGTCGTTATATTAAGAATAACATAAAATTAATTCGCACGCTAGGATACTCATTATTTATTCAGAATGTATTATTTATTCAGAACAAAAAGTAGAAGACGTCTATAGGTAGATTTTTAATAATATTAACAAATATACAACGAAAATAGAAGAGAGAAATATTGATGTAAGACGAAAAGGAAATATCGGTTTTTAATTAAAACACGAAAAAGAATCTGAGACAATTAATTGTTTCCTGATAAATAAATACATCACGTAATTTCCATCGCACTACGATTGAACACATTGCACATTTTATTTGTTCTTCAAGAACAAATAAAAGAGTTCTGAGAACTCTACGTCATTGCGATGCGCTGAAAACTTGAAAAACTGTAAAAGGTACGATATGCCTCGATAATTTCGATAAATACGCGCTATAAAGACATGAAAAGAAACGCGAATAAAGATTGGCTAAAAATCTCAAATGGCTGGACGGTGTGATCGCTGAACCTTGAAAAACGCTGAGGTTCGTTGGATGAGATCCGTCTCTGAAGTGTCTTACGTGCGGTGACGCGAATTCCTACGTTAACGAGCAATTTCAGCATTTCTCAGCCGCGGGCGACTTTAATCCCGGCGAAGAAGCGCAAAGAGATGCGGGAGGAATGGTAGAAAAGTCAGAGGAACGTAAATAAGAGACATAGAAGCACTCGCCGAGAATTGTGCACGTAAATATCTTGCGCATGGATAATTCTGGTTCCTCCTCCTCGACTACCACGTTAACTCTGCTCGCTTTAAATTCTATTCCTTCAAATCCTTTTGCACTTGTTCTTGCGTAACACGCTAACTGGGATCTTAACGAAAGTCAGAAACGCCTTCTGCTCTAAATATTTTATAATTTACTCATTTTAAAATTAAATTTCTAACTTTATGAGAGTTATACGATACAATTAATGCAAATTAAATTGTCAGATTTTCAAAGTATACTACTCAATAATAATTATATCTTTATTTAAACTTTTGCTTATCTTTATTACTGACGCCTTTTTACGATACAATCTGTACAATTATGTGACAGCTTTAAAATATTAATGTCCATATTATTTCATTAATGAACTTACTGGTCTACCAGCGAGATTTTCCCATGTGAAGTGGAGCTTTTGAATTAACGCTGGTACTGGAACGACGAATTTCATAGCATACTCATTTACGGTCCCTTCCCTGACGTAAAATAATTCTCCGTCCAGTCCTGAAATACATAAATTTATCTTTTATTAACAAAAAAATTTATATAAAGAAATTGAATGTGCAAATCTTTTTTTATAATGTGACTTATTGTGTACTGTTTAAAAAAAAGAGATGGTTATTTGTTTATAGATTTTATCCCTTGTGAATAAAAAATTATCTGATACAGATTACGAGTGGATGACTCATTCGTTTCCACTCATATTACAATTAACATAGCGTGCGATTGTCTCACAAATCTGCAAGAATACTATATATCGTGTGACTTCAGCATTAAAAATGCCTACTCATATATTTCAAGTGTCACGGAAACGCGATGAATAAATTTGAAAATAGAATTATATAAAGTGCTAAAGAAATTATTTCCTTATCAATAGCAGAATTTAAATTAGTATTTATAATAAAAAGAACGTTTTAAAATAAAAGAAAGATAAAAACAAAATTTTAAATTTGAATAATAAATTTGCTATGTCTATATGATCTTTTTGAAAGTGAATCAAAATCGCATTAAATGAAACAAAAAAGATAGCTTTTGTAAACATACATACAATTTTTGGAATGTGCTGCCGCATTATTAATAGTTTATTTAGAAATTAATATTATATAAAATAATATAGTACTTTAATCAACATTAGGTTATTTGAAAAACAGAAAACTTGTTTACTTAAATTATTTTTAAACACATAAATAATGAATACTTGGGATACAAAGCGTAATTAGTGTACGGACAGAACAACAAATTGCCGCGTGATGCGCATTCGCTTCGCTAAATTTTCGCCCCCATATCATCGGACTCACGCTTAACACATATTATGCTACCGGACTCAACTGAAGCGAAGGTTAGCGTGCGGGAGCTGCAAGGTTACGTAAACGAAATGGCGAAGGAATATCGGGGAGAAAGAAGGAGAATCTGCCGTGGAGGGGACCAAGACATGGGCACACGTCGTGTTCTCCCTCAGCGAGGGTCTATCCTGCGGTTGTATCTGATAGCGTGCTTAACGAGCCACGAGTTGGATTTTTAAGTCACCCGAAGACAATGTGCCGCACTGCCCTCATGGTCGTGTCTTTGCCTTTGGTTTACCTGGCTCGTTTGGCATCTCCCTTCTTCACTCTTTCTGTAGTCCTGCGGCCTTTACCGGTTTTCTGCATCAGATATCGTATACCTATGACCTCGGTACCGTCTAGGTATGTAGAGGAATCTGGTTGTTTTTGCAACCAGGTTCCTCTCACCATCCTGTGCGAGTGCCGGTCGTGGCGATCGTAAAAAAGATGAAAAGCGACTCTGCGAGTGTCCTTTTGGAAATAGTTATATATTCTTATAGTTCTGAAAAATCTATCTGAATCTGTTGAACTACCTGCCTAAAACCGATTTTTCTCAAGAATATCAAAAGTAGCATAAAAGGAATCAAGAAGAGGCACCAACGGCAGGTGTGCTTATATAATGCCTTTGAATAGCGAATATGGAATTAAGCAAATAACCATGAGGCATTCATTGTTACTTCCGAACTTTGCTGCTTTATGAATAATATATAATTCAATTCATAAGGATAAAGGTCTAATGGATAAATAATTAATTACGCATCGGTACATTTTTGCTGGATAATCCAATTTGCGCGTATATTCCCTGTAGGGTCTTTCATGGTCGTTAATCCGACGCAGTCCACTCCATTCTCGCGCGTTGGAAGGTAAAGTGTAATCCTTCCGGTATCAAAGATAACTTCATCTCATCATCATCTTTTCCCTTCGTCGCTGACGACGCTCCGAGTATGATCTCGTTACCGCGTTATCTCTTATCTAGTCAAGAAGGGTGGCATCAATCTCTTCGACACTCTTCCCTTGCGATTATGCGGAAACTTGTAAGCAGATGGAAGCAGATCGTCGAATCTAAAGATTCTTTGATGTCGCTATGTCTACCGCGCGAGCGCGAGAGCCAGAAAGCGACGAAAGGGACATGCAAACTGGTGAGAAGGATAAGGAGACGTTCAAAGAGGGAAAAAGCCTTTTCAGTAAAGGCGTCGACCCTTGCAACTGCTGCCAGGCACAAGAGATTGTCATGAGGGATTATACGGAACTATAGGCATCTTTTTTTCACACAACTCGCATCTACCATTCTGTCCACCGTCCACCAACTACCGATCGTATCTGTTGAATCTAATACGGAATTATTGCCACTTTTACAAGCCATGATGGTAGATAAGAAGCAGAAAGAATTTTTGGATCACTGTTGAATTTGACCATTCTTTTCGTGCGCAGATAAAGATCTAGGATTCCTGTGGTGTATTTTATAGGAAAGCGCGACTGAATCTTTATAACTTAATATATAAGCGATTTTTTACTAACAGGTAAAAGGAAATAATAGTAATAATAATAATCGTTAAAAGAAAAAGAATTTTGTAAAATACTTGAAATGGAGAATTATTTAGTACTCAATGAAAATAGAATTTCTCTTTTTTTTAATCGTATTTAATAATTAATTTAGTAAAATTATAAGCTTAATAAAAGCAAAAATAACTTTAAAATCTTATTTTGAATTAAATAAAATTAGGATAAGTCGCGCATTAAGAGTGCGTAAAGCTATTTTTATTAGGCTACGGCTGTTTCAATTAGTAAAGACATTTACTTTCTTGAGCGCACAGTTGCATAAAAAAATTCGTAACATTATATTGGGTTGTCCGGAAAGTTCGTGCCGACTAACTTATATAATTTAATAAATGTATACTAAAATTTAAATTTTCTACGTTTCAATTTTCCTTCAACATCGGCAAACTTTCCGGACAACCCAATAGATTAACAATAATAAACGATGAACCATGTTATATGATACATGAATAATAAACGATTTATTCATATGGAAACATTTAAGTACCTAAAATTTGATTATACTTCTTATTTGTTATATTACAAATTAAAATGATCAAAGTAAGAAAAAAATAAAGACAGATAAATAAAAAGCACTATTCATGGAAGTTATGATATCTTGAATATTTCAAACTATTTGAAGGAAACTATCGTTATAGTACAACCTCCAGTTCGCTCAATTACTGTCTGTGAAGACGCAATAATTCTAAAGAAGTACTTTTTACTTCCCTTAAAAGGACCGAATAGATATATAACAGAAAAATGCTGCCAAGTACGAGCACAACTGGAGAAATTTCACACGCCACAGTATTCTGCACTGTCAAAATACGGCATTGAACTACGTTGACGAGTAGAGGTCGAATAATAGAGCGGAACTAAGGATGAGAATAAGACGTTTAAGACAGTGAGGGGTATTATTAGAAGAGGTAACCATGTCTTTGAGGGAATTCGGAGAAATCAAAAAGAATCTACAGAAAATGTTTTGAAATAATAGCTTAATAAAGAATTTTGCCTTAATATATAATAAAATAAATATTTGTATTAAATTAAATAAAAGAGATTACAATTCTATATATATATATATATA